CGACACGATCTTAATGATATTAATGGAACATATCCAGATACGCCATACGCACATCGTTGTGGTGGTGCTACAGATGCTAAGGTAACGATTAGCTCTCGGACTAAACTTCAGATCTGATGAGGTGAACGAACTGTTCAGACAATTGTTTTGATAAAAGCTGAACTATTCGAAAAAATTTTTATTAGAAAAAAAGTATCTGCGAAAATCTCTAATACTTTCTGCAATAACTTTCGTCGAGTAAACATGTGATGATTTTTATCTTAGTTATAGTTGATAATTTATTCATATTTGTTTTTCTTAAAGATTATTAGCTATGAAATGATGCAAAAATGTTCACTTGTCGCTATTGCTGGTCCAACAACAGATCAACAACCACCATTTATTTGGAGTAAATCGGATTTTGATAAAAAAGTATCACATATTGGTCATCCAGACAAATGGGATTTCAAACCATATACACCAACATGGACATTATCTTAAACTAATTTCGTCATATTAATAACCGAGTTTTCTTAATAAACGTTTAACAATCATACTTTTTTTTCTATCTACTATTCTTTCTTTCTATAATAAATAAATAAATATTGATGAAGTGTTTTATTTGTTTTTTTTTATCTCACAGAAAGTCGAATGAAATCTTTTTTTTTGATAATGACGTCTTCATTTCTACAATTGTTCTACAGAACTTAAATGTTGTGGCTGTTTTGCGACATACTGCTTTACGATGTACTTGAGGTAGACTCTTTTTGTAGGTATTAGCTATATTTTTTCGTTCAGTATTGTATGATGATACTAATGACATCAACAGCTATAAACTCAAAAGTAATGTATTAAAGAACAAAACGATTTATTTTTAAAACAAGTCTTCATCATCAATGATCTGCATACATATAAAAAAAACATGAAACATCATCAAGCACGTGTGTGCGTGTAGGTAACGATGTATATATGCTGCACCCACACCCACCCTCAATAGAAAAAAATCATTTATTTTCAGGAGAGAAAGGTCATCATATTCTGTTTAATAGTTTAATTTTTGACTAGGCAGAATCGAAATTATTTGTTTTGTCTACAATGCATAAAGTTTAACAAAGTGAATGTATAGGGAGCGCTTTGATCGGATTGGTGAACTTAGGTAGAATAAAGACACTATATAATGTTTATGAATCATATAAAAAAGTAAAACAATCTGTTTAAAAACAGAATAGAAATGAATTCTCTGAGAATTATTACATTAGAGGATTTACCTGTGGAAATGTTAATGGAAATACTCAGTTATTTTACAGCTGATCAAATTTATTTCACATTTTCTCAATTAAATAATTATTTCAATTTAATTATCAAATCATTACCAAAATTAAATCTTGTGATACACGAACATTTAGATCCTTCTATTCTCTCTTTTTTTAATTCATTTAATAAAATTATCTTCAAATTTTCTGGTTTACATATATTTTGTTGTCGTTGTCAATCTCATCCGATAAACGCTGGTAATCGTTTGTATGAAATTTATCCGACAACAGATACAGGTTGGTATCCAGAATTCGATGAAAAACGATTTCCTTATTATCCGAGTAAAATCGAAAATATTATTCATCCTGATAATTATTCTCGATTGGAATCATTAGTTTTGCCAACTGCTTCATCTAAATTGATACAATTAATATTTCACGGTGAAGTTCCTCGTTTAAAAGCCTGTCATCTTGGTAGATGTGAACCAATTATTCTTCCACGTTCAATGACAATACAATTACAAAATCTTCGTCAATTAACAATACGAAAACAACAAGGTCATGTATTAGAAAAGATATTATTGGTTTGTCCTTGTTTAGAATATCTGGATTTTTCATGTAGAAGTTGTGTTCCAGCGTTCCATTTCATCAATCATTGTTTTCCATCGATGAAATATCTTCGACTTGGTCGACTTAAAAACTTTTTCTTTCACAATGAACAATTCATTTTTCTTCTCTCACTCTTTCCAAATCTTTTACAATTTCATTTAATTGTCGATCAATGTTCTTATGATGTTGAAACAATCAAAATTCAAGAAATTGCAAATTATTTACATCGACAATGTCCATTACTGAAAATATTAGTTTTATGTATTCATATGGAAGAACATTTGCGTCGTGCTTTCTATATCGGTAGTTTTGAAAAAATTACCAAAATGCATTCTCTTTTCAATTATATCGAGCTATGTCAGGGGTGTATAACTATTAGTTCACATGGTTTCATTCCGCATTCTGTTTACACGTATCAATATACTCGTCCTTCATGTGAATAATTATATGTAAATGGCGATTATCTATTCGTTTTTGACTATTTCATTATATCGTTTCATTTGCGTCTTATATTGTTTTTCTTATTCAATTAAAATAAACTTAGAAAACCATCTTGATGATGGGTTTCTGTTGAATAAATTTAACTCTATACTTTTAAGCATATTGATATCTTCAAGATTAGTATTATTGTAGTTCTTTTTGTTCTTTTTACTTTCTCAGCTGATGCACATCTAAGTATGAAAATAAAATGAATATTGGTATTTTCTATAAAATCGTTTACTGATGTTTATGAAAATGTGCGATCGTGGTTTAACTAATATTTTGCGTTGTGATATCAGCTGCGATGATAAATAAATAAAAAATGAAAAAAAAGTACCTCGTAGGATATATGAATATAGATAACTAAATAGGGTATGGGTGTGGGTGTGAATGTTGGTAAATAAAAGATGAATTAACACCCACATCCTTATTCTTCATTATATCCATAAACAATGTTTCACACCTTATGCACGAACAATTCAAAATCCACAATTGAAATCAATAAAAATTATGGTTGGTATTCGAAAGAATTCCAACCTTTCAAAATAATTTATTCGTCGAAATCTTTCTGAGAAGAACAGAAAAATAAATAAAGAACATTCGTCGAAAGATTGATTCCATTAGATGCAGGTGTGGTTGTGAGTAAATGAGTGTGGGTGGCTGTGTATGTGAATACTCTATTCCAGCCAACTGTCACCATCACCCAGACAGTCGATTCATTGCTTTTAATCTTCATGCGAAGCGCCTCACGCTTTCTCATTCCTTCCAAGAGAAGCAGTTGAGTAGCAACGACGAACAAGCAATAAATGTAAACAATCTGAGAATGTTGGAAATTATGACTGGCAGTCGAAAAAGTATAAAAAGAAGCAGAAACTACATAATCAAGTATATGTAGTTGACGGAAGATTCGACAAGAGAAGGTAAGCATATTTTATGTGAATATATGTTTGAAGGAGGAGAAGGGTTTCCTCTATAAACATATAATGATATTTTGCCAGTTTGTGTGTGTGTGCATGTGGATATTTCTTGCATTCATCATTCACGGTCTCGCACCTACTCTCACATATATCAAAAACTCATTAACATATGATTTTTATCTTGAACAATATTCGAAATAAAACCTGACTCTACTTTAAAGATTAATTAGATTCCTACATATGTCTGCGAGAAAGAACAATTTTTTGTTCTACCGGCACAGAAAAATCATATTAAATAATGTAAATTTGTTGTTTACCTACTCACTCATAAAAAAGTTATTGCCAACCATGTGTTGAATAAAATATTTTTTTTTGATGTAGATTGATTATTAACTATATATACCATCATTTGAATGGCTTTCTTCGTACGATCGATATTTAGGTAAATCCTTTATACATATAATCGATTTCATATTGTAATTCTTATTCTTACATAAAAATTTTAATAAGATTTGTATTCTTTTTTTTTATTTAGGAGATTTTCTAAAACAATACAAGAAAAAAGAAATACTCCTTTTATATCCAATAAACGAAATGGATTCCTTTGTTTTATTTTATTATTTATTATAGCTTTAATCGTATTAATTGTTTTCATATTCGAAGTTTATTATCAATATGGTGAATGTGCTGTAACTGCAAAATATTCCAAGAAAAATATGAAATTAACTCATCGAATAATGGATATGTTAGATGATCTATCAATTGTTTATTGGCCTGATTGTCAATCATTATTAAATGTTTTAAGAAATGAAACATATAATATATGGGATCAAGATGTTGATTTATCAATTGAATGGCCATTTAAATCCAATCATATCCATTCGAAATTAAATAATCTTCGACTTTTCATTGAAACATTTCAAAACAATGATTTCAATGTAGAATATTATCCAGATAGAAAATTATTCTCATTATCATCTGTCAATGAAAAATCTGCACGACAACCACATGTTGATATCTGGTTATGGAAACGTTACGATGAACATGAAACAAAACCAGTTTTACAATTATTTGATTCTAGTCTTAAATATCAATCAAGATTAATTTCAGATATTTATCCATTAAAATCTGTTACATGGTTAGGAAGAAATGTTAAAATACCAAGACAATCACATAAAATTGCATATAAAGAATATGGAACATCGTATATGAAACCGATTTTCATACGAAATAATTGTTTTCATAATTTAATTGATGGTCGATGGTTTTATAATGCATAGTAGACATATTTTTCTCTTCATCCGACTACGCAGAGACGATGACGAATGTTAACATAGACAATTGCATTTTTATGTATTCCTAGTTAATAAGAGTAGTTTTGCTGTTCGTTTCGTTGAATGTTTTTTGTGATGTGATATTTTTTGTATGTTAAATGAGTATCATTTGAGTAAGAATTATGCCAAAATGACATTTTTTTGCAAGTCAAAAAAACTAAACTGAATAAATTTATAGATATTGGCTTATACAGTCAGTCATTTCTGCTTATCTTGAGGGTATGGGTGTGGGGTGTGAGTGTTACCTTTATCTCACGCCCACACCCACACACACACATCCACACTCGTACCCTCTGTGCCTACGCCTACCTACTAATAAAAACAGGTTGGACTTAATAATAATCTTTTATTTAATACTGACAAAAAAAGTTGTTTTTCTAACAAAAATACATTCTCTTCCTTTCTATTGAACGTGGCATGGATTTTCTACCATATTATCAGCGTTCTTATCCACCTTCACACCTGATACTGTTGTTGGTCCGTTAAGGAATTGAGATGGAAACTGTTTCTGAATAAATTCTGTAGCTTGTGCATGAAATTTCTCATAGAACATGATAAAAACTTTGTTTTTATGTTCAGTCGATAAGCGAATATAGTTAAGATTGTTTTTCAGCACAATGTGATCGAAACCTACACTGTACAATTCCAAGGTTTTCTCGATTTCAACAGCATCCGGTCGATGTTTGGGATCATCAGCGGTACATCGAGCAATTAAGTCCTGAAAGATCGGACTTTCTGCTTGAAAAGCAATTTTTTCGTTCGCAGATTGTCGAAAATGATGACGGGTTTCCGTGAACAATTCATTTAGTGTCAAACCAAATGTAAAAATGTCCAATTTTTGGTTGTAACTTCCTTGTTGAAATTCTGGTGGCATATATGGTGGATAACCGATTTGCGTATGCTGATTAAACGGATCGATAACTCGTGCAATGCCCATATCACCAATTTTGGCGGAATAATTTTGACTAACCAGAATATTATCAGGGCGAATGTCTCGATGAATCATATGATGGTCATGAATTTTTCTCATACCACTAGCAATTTGTTTTGCCATATGAACTTTTCGACGCAAGGATACCTTCTCGTTCTTATTCTTCAACACAGTAGCAAGACTACCTCGTGCCATATATTCCGTAATGATCATGTATTTAGTACTATTTTGTTTTAATAATCCATAACCATAAGTTTTGAGAATGTAACCACCAGAAAGTTCCATATAGGCGGCCAGTTCTCTAAAGAAACTCTTTTCTAGTTGATTACCTCTGTGAGAATCATGTACATTAATGATCTTACAAGCCACTTGACGATTTTTTGATATTCATCGAGCTTTATGCACAGAACCTGAGGAAACAAAATCGTTTTAGTTAATGGGAATAGATGGAAATACTTCTGCGCATCAGAATACTTACCAAAAGCACCACTTCCTAATTCTTCTCCTAATTCAATATCATCAAAAGGTATCTGCGTAATAACCTGATTCGATGTAAGAACAAGAGAATGGACAGTTTGGTGCGTTTTACTAGTAATACCAGTAAGTACACATTTTTCACATAGATCATAATTTGGACATGTGTCACATTTGCAACGTAAACCAGTGATACCAACTTGTCCACACCCATCACATGTAGTCGATTTGTGAACATCTTTGGCATAGAATTCTTGGAGTTTTTCAAATGTCACATCATCGCTTGTGACTGTTCGACCAAAAAGTTCATTAGGCAAACGAAAATGAGCGAATACATGGCCATTCTTGTGTTGTTTCGATTCCCTTCGACGTTCGAAACATCCAGCACACAAATCATAATCATCACATTGCAAACATTTATAGCGATCACCTCGAATAGGGAAACTTTCGCATGCATCACACTTTACTTGATGAGTTTCTTCGTTATCCGTATCATCATCGTTATTGTTTGTTGCCTCAACTAGTAATTGTAAGAGTTTGATAAGGACAGCTTCCTTTGTCGCATTCGAATTCGTTTCCTCATCGCTGTCTGCAAAACAAAATCGTTTTATGTACTGAAACTCTCCGTATCAACGGTAGATTTTTTCATACCAGACTGTTTTTTACTCTTTGCTGAACTTCTCATATGAAGAGTTTCGTCATTGTTGTTCGCTAACCTTGATGCTCTTGAGGATGCACTTAGTTGTGGAGTAACATTGTATAAAAGCATTTCACATTCTTGTTTGGTTCCTAAATAAAATGCTTGACTGATCATGATCATGAACTTATCGCGTAGTACCTTTACAGACGACAGTTCCTCGACATTTTCGACCGTTTCTATCGATTATATATGATTGGTACAATGTGACTAACCGTGATGGCACTTGAATATGCTTCTCAGGCATGACTTGAAACTCATTATCATCAAGCCAACGGATCGTACAGTATTGTTCCTCATCAGCCTTGATCGATTCTTAAAAATAGGAAAGACATATCTTTAAAGTAACACTTAGTTCGTGATAAACTCACCAGAGCTGAAACTAGATTTAATCCGTCGAAAAAAATTCATCTACCACTTTACGTCGTTGTGAGCAAGTGATTTGAAACGTAAAAGCACACAAAAATATATAGTTGTTGACAGAACCATAGCCTTCTAGCTTCTTTCTTCAACGTTGTGATTTTTTTCATAGTAGAGTATGCCTGATTGAAAAATTGTTTTTGTTATTTTTTGCTTTCATTCTATACTCTTAATCAAAGAACGCGTTTTGCGTATTAGTATGCAAGCATCTTCGCACTATCCAAAGAATATACGAGTTATACACATAATTTTAACAGATAATCAACTCATTTTCATCGACTAGAACATTGACAACTAAACACCTACTCCTCTTCCGAAAACAGAAAGCTCTCAGCCATCTACTTTGGCTCAACTTTTACTGGAGCACGAGGGCGAATTTTCTGGCTTTCAAGGTTTTCTATTGTTTTTAAATGTTTGTAGCTTAATGTTCCGCACAATAGGTAGTGCTAAGTTGGAAATAAGGATATGGGTGTTGGTATCGCTAATAAAAGACATCAGCCTCACCTACATCCTAATTGTCAACTGAATACTGGGCTATCAATCATATGGGTTTCGATCGAATTTCAACGCGTTTTTTCAACGAAAAGTGAATATCATTAAATTCATTTTTAAGTTCTCCACCATCTTGAGGGGGTGGATGTGGGTGTGAGTGTGGAGGGTGTGGGTGTGGGTGTAGGTGTGCCCAGGTCAACTAATCTAACGTTGGATCCGATCATCCGACAGAATCCGATAGGATTCCAGGTGACGGATTTGCATTGGATTTTGTCGAAAAAATTTTCAGTCACTTGCTACAAATCTTGAGGGTGCGAGTGTGGGAGTGGGTGTGGCTGTGGCTGTGTGTGTAGGTGTGGGTGTGGGTGAGAGTGTGAGTGTATCTACTTTACCTTTACCGACACCACACCCACACCCACACCCACACCCACACCCACACCCTCAAATCTATAAGTCACTTTAATGAAGAAAACTGAATTATTAATTGACGTAGTTTGCTCTCTATTTTTCCAACATGCGTAGTGGCAAAATAAGATGTAAGCTCTCTTTAACTGGTGAAAGCAACCAATACAATACGTCCCTTTTACTTCATTTCAGATCAAATATATAATATTTACTTTGCAGTGTTTACGAAAGAATAGTCGTGGTTGAAGAAAAGATTTTTTATTCGTTCTCTTATTATTTCTTGTTTTCTGTTTACAATGATGGTGAGAGTGAAAAATTTATAGGGACCGTCATTCAAACAAACTGTTGTGTTAAGAAACAGACTCATAAGATTCATCTTTATGAGGCTATTTTAAATTTTATTTTGATGCATCATTTTTCGTAATCTTCTCGATCTATTCTGAAAATTTTCTGTATTTACCGTAATTTATTCAAATTATGGCCGTCTACATCATGTTACTAAAGTGGCGTAAAAACAATCATTCGACATCGGTTTGTTTTTGATAGTGGGTGTGGATATGGGTATGGAGTATGCGTGTGGGTAGTGTCTTAGTCCACATCCTCTCACCTTCACCCACACCCACATCCTCGCGCCACCCCTGCCGATCATATATAAAAATATGATTTGGTTTATAATAACAAACATTCGAAATTTAACATTTCGATTACTTTTTAGAAAAATAAAAGTTTTAAGGATGACATTCATGTTTATAGATTTAGCATTGGTTTATTATGTTTCTGTTAATCCAGCTGATTGGGATGATTGTATTGGGCAATTATTAACAGAACTAACAGGAGTTGGTCGATTAGTTTGTTTGTATGAAAAGAAGTTTTCTCGTTTTTTTAAGAACTATCTATAAAATGACGACATTTTCCTCGTTAATATTATTATAAAATAATAGAGCAAGTATTATTCAATGTGTTAATGTAATCCATTGCATTACAAATGGTCATAATGTTCATCGTTTTGTTAATCGAAGAGATTTTTTCATTTTTTCTAATTTTTTTCGTAAAAATTCAAAATAAAAAAGAATAATAAAACTTTAATAATGACACAACTTATGTAGATTCAAATGAATATTTATGATTCTGCTAAAAAAGAAAAATTTCCATAGTCAGACATGTAACAACTACCTATATATAGTTTCTAAAGGAACCAGAAACGTGTAATTTTTGTGTTCGATCATCCGACCATTGATTCTATAACGGATGAAAAGATCATTTTAATTTTATATTAATTATTTTCTTTGAAAATTTCAGATTTAGATATAAATAATTCATATTCTTCTTTTCTCTTTCATCTAAAACTATTCATTCAAATTCAAATAGCATTCTTTGCTCCATATATTTAATAAATATCAAGGGACTATTTGACAGGCTACTGAAAATTTAAATAAAATATTTCTTTAACGATATTTTTCTAATGAAAAAAAGATGTTATTATCTAAACATTTAAATGAAAACTATTAAAATTAAAAAGAATAGATTTCATTGAATGATTGATTTGAGGAAGACAAGTGTAGCAATTTTTTATCATATTGCCATTGGTTTACATAAACAGTTGTTCATTAATATAATTATATAGATATTTTTAAAACCTGACAACAAAAAAATGTTTGCTCAGTAATTTTCCGCTATGTTGATTTTTTTAGTAGATTTCATCTTAGAAGAATTTTTTCATTCTTTTAAACAAAAATATTCCGTAATTAAAATTAGATTTATAAGAGTAATTCTATGTTTGAATACTGAATTGACATTGGATGAAAATATTTTTGTGAAGTGAGTATACAAATTGAATTATTTCTATATTGTACACTTTGTTAATGTCATTAGTATATATTAGTGAACAAATAACAATTTATTTTGGTTTTTTTCTTCTTCTAACGGGTGTAATTGGAAATAGTTTGAATATTTTAATATTTTCAAGTATTGAGAATTATCGTAAAACTCCTTGTACATTTTATTTTCTTATTTGTTCAATAACTAATATTCTTTATTTATTAATTAATCTAACATCTCGTATTGTTAGTGTAGGTTATGGAATTGATTTAACTCATACATCAATTATTTGGTGTAAAACTCGACAATATTTACTTCTTATTCTTAGTTTAATAAGTTTCACCTGTTCATGGTTATCATCAGTCGATCAATATTTCGTTACATCAAGACATGCTAATCTTCGTCGTATGAGTAATATTAAATGGACACATCGAATAGTATTTATTCTTATTCTTGTAAGCTGTCTTCATGGAATTCCTTGTTTCATAATTTTTAATATTTCATCAATTACAAATCAATGTATAAATAGTAACATTATCTATGCTATTTATAGTCCTATTTATTCTCTTACATTTACTTGTTTTGGTCCAAGTCTAATAATGATTTTATTTGGTTATTTAACTATTCGAAATATTCATTTAACACGAGTTCTTGTTCAACAACAAATTGATCGTCAATTAATTAAAATGACTTTATTTCAAGTTATACTTATTGCTGTGTTTATAACTCCATATAGTATTAATGTTGTTTACATTTTAATAACAAATGGGATGATTAAAGATACAAATCGATTAATAATTGAAAATTCGATTTTTACAATTCTTACTTTATTAACATATGTTTATTATTCAGTATGTTTAGTTATTTATTTATTTAAATGAATATTTTCATTTCACCTCAGGGAAGTTGTTATATATTTTTGCTTTCATCAAGTCGTTTTCGTCGAACAGTAAAAAAAAAAATATTCATCTGGAGAAAACCAAATCAAATCAATCCAATTCAACAACCGACAATTTAAATATCACTTTTTTTTCCTTCATTTCTTACATTTCCAAGTATGACTATGAAAAATGACCTAAGGCCTTTTTATGGGGTGTAGGTGAAAAAAAATAATCGATTTTCTAGGTGAAAAATGTGTTTTTTTCTTTATCGATGTTTTGATAGATTCAAATGATGAAGCATATTTTTATGAAATATGTGAAGTTCATAGTATTACTAAACTTGCTGATAGCGTTATATTCAAAAATAGAGATAAAGTTGAGAGTCGGATGCAAGATCACGAAAGAATTTTTTAAGTTGTTACTATTATATTCTCTTATACAATAGTAGAGATTAATAGAAGTATTACTATAGCATATTCTTTTTTACAAATATGAAATTTGAGATCCAAAAATAATAGCTAATTTCGTAAATTCATATTATCATTTATTTTACATGAATAACTTTTATCGATAAATACACTTTCTACACGCATTTCGCTTTAACATTTAAAAAAGCTTAAGTCCCTTTCGACATAGATAAATCAACATACTCTATCATTTCAATTTATCAAAACATCGATATAGCAATAAAATAAATTTGTTCACCTACACCTTATAAAAAGGCCTAAGGGCATTTCTCATGGTCATATTTGAAATTAGCATTGTTAAAAGTGTATTGAAAAAAGATTTTTGTATCTTAAAATTCTCCTCTAAATTATTTTTTGTTCAATCGATGATTGTTTGAATTCAATATAATAAAATAAATTTTTCTAACTAGACATGGGTGACATACACATTGACATAGAACTTTATTTATTCGGAATCGGCTAAAGAGAAAAGAGAAAAGAGAAAAAAAATATAGATTAAATGACAAAGGTTAAAAAAATTGCACTTGTTTTGTCTATCTCGGAATGTTTATGGAAAAATAAAATCAAATAAAATAAATTAATCATGATATTTTCTATTTTGATTGACACCAAATAATTTTTCTCGTATTTCAGGAAGAATTTGATTAAAAATCATTGAAAGTCGAGCTTCAATTGTATTCGATACTTTAATTTTTCCTCCCATTGCATAAAGTTCAATACCACCAGCTCTAAACAAAAAATTAAATTTTAATTTTTTTTGAATAATCTTCTTTTGAAAATACAAACGATTCGTCAGGTAAAAAATTCTTCTCATCAATTGTAATTTTAATATCTTTTTGTTTTAATTCTTTTTTATAACGATCCATTGCATCAGGAATAAGTTGTTTAACAAGATTTGTATCATTACGTCGACATCTTATAGTAACATCTTTTTCCATAAGTAAAAAAAGACCTTGTGCAATAAGATTAGCAAGAATTGTTGTATATTTTGATTGATCTTGTGTTAAAATAGTTAATTGTTTTCGTGCTTCATCTTTTAATGTTTGAACATAATCATCTCGTGCTTTAAGAATTGCTAAACGACTTGCATTTGCTAAATTTGAATGTTGAATTTTTCTTTGTAATTCAATTTGTTTTTCTTTTTTATCATAATATTCAATTATTTTAATACGTTGTTGAGAAACCAAACGACTTTTTTCAATATTAAATTCTTCTTCAGCTTTTGCTTCGATTTCTTCAACTTTTTCAGCTGCTTCTTGTTTTATAAATGATATCATTTGTTGAATCTATTATTATATTTACAAATACATTTAGTTTTCAACAAAAAAATAAATAACAAACCTGTTTAGCAACATCATTTTCGCTTAAACCCATTTTTCAATTTATTTTAAGATCGAAATATGACCAAGTTCAGGAGGAATGGTAATGTGTTTATGATAAGATATGAAGAAAATATAACAATGAATAGAGGCAGACTAAACATTTTTATTGGACTATTTTATCAATCTTTTTTCTTTCTTTATAGATGACACTACTTTATATTATTAACAATTTCTTTTTAAAAATAAAATTCGATTTGAAATCAGAATTCTAGTTTATTTATTCAATCGAATACATTAGAATTTTGAAAATGTAAGAAATAAATTTATTAATGACCACATAGAGATTTTCTTTTCTGGTCGTTCTAAATATTATTATTTTAAAACTATCAGATTAAAATACACTCGTATTTTTTAATAAAAAAAAGTTAATATTGATTAATTATGTATTAATTAATATAAAGTCTATTTTTCAATAAGATAAGATATAAACACTTCAAAAGTTGTATAGATCAATTGCGATATATGTGTTATATTAAATTGGTTTAAATAAATAAAATTCATCAATTTTAAAACTTGCAAGAATATATTACAATATTGCATAATTCATCATTTGAATAGCAGAAAAGATATCTCTTATCAATATACTTTGTATTCTTTGGAATATAATAGTTCTAATATAACTGCGCCCTCTTTTTACACGTTTCATTTTGTTTATCTCTCAGCCATTGAAATACGGGGACACCTTAAAAAAATATTTTTTTAAATAAATATTATTTTATTGGATTATTGTTTAGTCAGACTTAGATTTAATAAAATAAAAATGAATTCAATGAGAATTTGTACTTGCTCGATATATTAAATTTATTAGGAAATTACATTTCCTATATTGAGTTTTACTCGTGAATAATTCTTGTGTCATTAGAAGATTTCTCTACATATGATAACATAATTCTGTTACATAAATATAGATTTTCCTATGATTAAGTCTTTGTGAAATTTGTTCGTTATTACAAATGATTGAGAAAGAACAGAAAAATAAATCTTATTCATCGTGATTACTTTATGACGAAAAGAATAAAACGAATACCTCGACTATAGAAATATTTATTGCACCCCATTGGATTTCATCACAAAAAAAACAACAACTTTATTTTTGTCATATATATAAAAGAACATATTTTACTTGTAGATATTTATTATTTGGAC